AAAATTTCTCACTCTATGCATATACTATTTTAAGATTATAAAATAATTACAAAATAACAAATCAATAGAGGGTCTTAGAGTAGGAGAAATATTGTAAAGACTCAAAATTAGATAGCTTCTTCTTTTTTGAAGGGTAACTCAAGAAAAAAAATCACCCACTTTTTATAAAGACACAGACAGCACACACAGGGACTCCTTGGTCAGGTTAAATGTATACAAGCATCAGGTATGGTATATATGCAAAGCATACTGAGGATAAATGTCTTTGTGTGGAGGCGTGCCCATTAATAGATAATTGTCATCAATTGAAAATTAGAGCTTCCCAGGTTCAGAGAGCAATATTGACTCACAGATTTGGCTAGACTTAAGTATAGCAAAGAGACCGCAACTCCAAAAGAGTCATGCTTTTTACAAAACCCAATATCAGTTCAGTAGTTATCTTTGGATGTTCTAATGTATTGTGTCATCATTCTGCTTGGACAACTCTACATTTGCTTTATGTTTGGGTTTAGGAACTTTGACCTAGATTCAGGTTATTCTAGCTCTTGTTTTCATTCTTCACATCCAGAAAGCGTCAGCCAGGCTAATAATGCTTTGAAGGTCTGATTTGTTACCACCAAACTGCAATTAAAATGGCTTAAATTTTAAGTTTTCCTTTGAGATGCACATTTCCGATGACCCAGTGTACAAAACACATTCCAAAAGAGTCATGCTTTTTACAAAACCCAATATCATCTTTTCCAATTTTCTGAGAACATATACCAACTTTCCCACAATTCTAACAATACTAATTTCCATCATATAGCACCTAGAAGATTAAAAACATCTTACTCAGCCCAATGTTACAACACCAGGGATCCCCCGCTTTCTCAAAATATAGTTCAATAATGTTGATCTGCTTCATTATAACATACTATCTAAAAAACAGCCTCTGTGAGATCCAAGGGCCAGTGGGATGAGAAACTGTAGGAAATCAGGATGCCAGGCTCTAGGGTGAGGTGAGCCTAGAACTTACAGGTCCAGGCTGCATTCTCTGCTAAAAGGGAGGGGCACTGAAAACAGTGGCTCTGATAATCCCTGCCTTGCGGAACACTGTTGGGCTGGCAGGAGGAGGCGGCCCAGTCATAAAAGTGCAGGCTCCCTGCTCTGTGGGTAAGCATCTTGGTCAACAACCCTTAGCTCATCGCCTTTTCCTGAACAAATATCACAGCTATCCCTGGCTAAGAGATTATACCAGGTTAAA